CGGACGTAAGATAACTATGACAGAGTCTCTCCTAGAATCCGTCACATTCTGAATTTCATTAAAAAGTCTATTACCGACTCCTACATAAAAGAATGAGGTTCCTGAAGCTTCCAGCCAACCAGTTTTCATGCTATAGAATCCAACAAGATGAATGCTATAACAGAATAAAGTTCTATCTTCGCACAAGACACGCCGTGAAAACTTTTGTCCGTAATAATAATAAGTTCGTGAGCAGAAAAAGTTCATAATATATAAGGAATATGACATTGATAAGTAGAAAAAATTACACCTTCGCATGGGCATTCAAGCGAACAAATTCAAAGAACCGTGATGAAAGGATGACTCAACAGCACCTTTAAGCGGCACGATATATTGGAAAGATAAGTGAACTGAGCTAAAACTTTCTTTAACAAGGAACAGTATTAAAAAACTTAATACAAAATAAAAATTATTAAAGTAAACAAACATATGCTTAAAGAAACACTCTCCTCAAATTTCATCAAATGAATAGTGAACAGAGTCTCACAAAACAAAAACAAACTCATAAGGCAACTAAAGAGAAATGTCAACATTCAAAATATACAACTTTTCCATATTTAAACACTTTCATGCTAAAAATTTTAAGGCAACCGGAAGACTTTTTAATTTTTGTAGAGCTCAACAGAAAAAAAGAACAAAATTGAATGTCGGAAGTGCTAGAAATAACAGTATAAGCAGCCGCACCAACAACAAAAGTGCACCTCTTTCAAATATTAACGCAGCTCCACATAATTTGCAGGAAACAGTCCATACTGGTTGTTGCACACTCCGCGCCACCATCCAGCGTCTATCTATAAAAATGATTGAATTCATTAGCAGAAGAAATGAGAGATAAAAAGATGTAAGATGAAGATAAACGAGGAACAAAAAGAAGTTTCCAATAAATCTGAATTACCGTATATGAAGAAGATTCAAATACGAAAGTGCATTTTAAAGATAAACCTGCTCAATGTTGGTGATAACATCTCCGGGTTCAAAACTAATTTCATCGTCGTCCTGTTTTTGATAATCATAAGTGGCAACTGCAGTTAATCCAGTAGAGCTTAATGGATGGGCAGGACCAGAAAGTGGATCTGAGATCTGAAAAGTAGGTGATACTTTTATAGCGAACTTGTCTAATTTGCCAATTAATAGAAGCATTTCCCTACAGTATAGCTCATTAACCGTAAACGAAACTAGTTACTATCACAAATGCAATAAAATTTATAAAATGATGAAACTCAATTAATTTTGAGTTCTATCTGGAAATGTCAGATCCTTCATGATGACTGGATATTGCTTACAAATCTGCCAAGTAATTAGTTAAAATATTTTAGTACTGGATAAGTTATAATAAAAATAACCCATCCCTGGAGATTAACGAACGAGAGCCTAATTATAACCTACTTCTGCAGGAGGTTCTTCATACTGCGCAATATATGAATTTGATCCCTGTGTATTACTCGAGACAGTAGGAGCGGGAGGTGGGACCTCCTCAGGCACATAATCATACTGGCTGAGAGGAGCATTTTTTGAAGCGTAAGACTAAAATAGCTTAACTTCAATCTTTTCATTCTACTTAGATATAGATAAGAATTAAAAACAAACTTTATCCATCGCTGGAGCATTTGAAGATGCAGCAGTAATTTTGCTCTGTGCATTGGCAGGTTCGTCTTCCCACGCTTGTTCATCATTTTCTTCATCAGAAGATGACGGTGGCCGACGAATCATTTCACGAACTGATCTATGTTCGCCTCCAACAGGGATTTCTTTGGCACCTAAATCAACCTTCTAAGACCAGCACTAATATTAGACAAAATGAGTTACATCTTTTTAACCTAAGTTTTCAAAACATCCTATTTTTTCTCGTTGCATTTTCGTTCCTTGACGACACCTCTATGTCATTTCTCATCGATCCAGCCAGACTTACTTCTTGTTAACAATAAGGGCTTTAAAAAATAATAGCGTTCAAAAAAGCCCATCACCCATAACTTAAAAACTCAGTTAGGCAACTTTTATAATAATTAAAGTAAACTCCCGATATTAACAAGAATATTAGAAATGAGAACACAGTATTACAGCAATATATTGCAGTGCCTCATCCACTACACAATTAGTTTAGCAGTGACCTGAATGACAGACAGAATAAGTAGTAAATCTAATCTAATCACTAGACACAGCTAAAACTCCACTCAAATACCGAAGAAGAGCAGCACAAGAAACAGAGTAACTGCTAAACAATTCGTTTTTAACAGATCTTCTCTATCTACATTTTGGCCCCAACGCAATGTCATTTCAAGATTCTGCCGTGATTCTAATACTTTTAGTTTTAAAAGTTCCATACGCAGCAAATGCTGGTGGGCAGTACCGAAAGCAACCTTCTCCCAGACACACAATTAACAGAACTAAGCTTATCTCGAACGAAATCTTAATGTTAAAAGATATTGCACAAATTTTTTTTTAGAAAAGATTTGAGTTTATATACGACACATGCCACAATGAAGCTGTAAAATCATAATATCTGTAGCTAAAAAAGACGGTTATACCTGGCAAGACTGGAACAGGAGCTAATTGTTCCGATTTTGGAGTTGCGTAGCTTTCGCTTTGCTCCGATACTACCTTCTGATCTCCTCGAGCAGCAGAATGTGGTGATAGTTGTGGAAGTCCAGGCATTATGGCTACAGCACCTACTGGAGTACGGTGAGGTCTGGGAACCGCTATAAAAAACAAATATTTAACTCTAAGACTACGTCGTCAGTAACAGAGAAAATAATCCCAGGTAGTTCTCTGAAACAATGGGAACTTAAAAACCTAGATTAACAAGCAAGAAATGTCACCTGAACTTTGCCACTTCCGCTCATTTTCATTTATACTTGCCTCCACAGTTTCCTCACCCATCTGAAAAAAAAGAGATATACTTTCCCAGACAAAACAAAAAACCCAAAAAAACTGCTTTTGAAAAATTAAGAACACATGGAAAATCCACAACTTTGCCTATGACATCCATTATGTGCAAAAATATCACTGACTTGTTCATTCAGTGCTTCCCTCTTCTTCCACTCTTCAGCCACTCTCTTTTGACGTTCCTCCTCTGCCTTCTCTTGTTGCTTCTTGAGTTCTTCATCCTCTCTTCGTCTTCGCTCTTTCTCTAATCTTACTTTTTCTCCATCCTAAAAATTAAAATCATTTCAAAACCTTAAATGACAGAACCAACAGTAAATTAATTTCCATCTAGTATCGACTGGCTTCTACAAAAATACAAAAATAAACTCATACGTCAGAAGTGGCCAATTTTTCAAAGCGAGCTGTCAAGCTTGATGCCGCAGTTCTGCCCGGAACGGCTCTAGAAGTTTTATTAGGCTGCTTTTCTTGTTCCGGTTCGTTATAACTATATGCCGACTTATCTTGCTTGTCGCTATCCACACCGTACTTGCCGCCAAACCCTATTAACAACTTCTCGTCAAATTTGAAAACTCCAACGCAACACGGAAGGTATTTGGTTAACAGGAAGCGAAAAAATGAGAAAAAAAGGATTAGCACGGTAAATAGGTGAGAAAACAAGGTATTTCGACCAACCATGAGAATAATCTCTCTGACTCTCATGCTGTGCCAGCTTCTCATGGTGTTCGAAAGAAACAGCAGACTTGTCTTGCCGGTCACTCTGGACCCCAAATTGTCCTCCAAATCCTTTCTTGTAATCTAGAAAAATAACAATTCATGACGAAAACCCAATGAAACACCAAGTTTATAGTCAAAGTCCTGAATAACACCTCCTCCAAAAAAGAAAAATACTTTGCACACGAAGTATAATAGCATCATACTTTTGAAGTACTCTGTTTTCGAACTTTGTAATCTCAATAAAAAATTATTTTTTTTGCAGCTACTGGGCTAACCAATTTGGCTTTCGTGAGGAGCAACCTTTTCCGGCTCATCCCATCCTTTCGCGCTTTTATCTCTCCTGTCTTCTTGAACACCAAACTTGCCACCAAAGCCCTTTTTATAATCTAAATCAATACTTTGTAGTTTCCAAAAAGATCCAAAGTTTGAAAATAAAAAAATTTTTGTGTCGCGCCTTTTTTTCCAAACAGCAAGTGGTACAACGAAAATGACGAAAACAGAGCAAAAAACCACCAACCAACTTGACTCTCATGAGGTTGAACTTTTTCCGGCTCATCCCAACCCTTGGCACTTTTATCTTGTCTGTCACCTTGCACGCCAAATTTGCCTCCAAAACCCTTCTTGTAATCTGAACGATAATAATAAAAACCTTTTAAAAAACCACAATTGTCCAAAGAAAACTCAAAAGCTAGCCGGCGCTATATAAATTTGCCACAGAAGAAATGAAAGAAGAAAAAAAATAAAAATATCGACCAATTTGACTTTCGTGAGGCTGTACTTTTTCTGGTTCATCCCATCCTTTAGCACATTTATCTTTCCGATCACCTTGCACTCCAAATTTACCTCCAAATCCCTTCTTGTAATCTAGACAGTTAAATTTGCTCGCGTTTGTAGCAAAAATATATTACTTCAACCATAACATCAAGCACACAAAAAGAATTTTACCTATTTGACTTTCATGCTGATTTAACTTCTCATGATTTCCCCAGCCGACAGCACTTTTATCCACTCGATCCTTTTCGACACCATATTTACCACCAAAACCTTTTGAATAATCTAAAGAAAATAGACGCATTTCACTGCGAAATATGACCATTCAAATGAGGAACGACAACTTTCTATATCATCTACAGTGCCAAAAAACTAAAAGATCAAAACATCTAATATACTATGTTACAAAAGATTTCAACAAAAAAAGACATTTACACTTGAAATAACCGTGCAGTAGCATAAAACGCAATTAACAGAAACAACAGCTGACCTTGTTGACTTTCATGTTTAGCCAAATGTGCCTGATACTCCCAACCGACTGCACTTTTGTCTTGTTTGTCAGTTTCTACCCCATATCTTCCACCGAAGCCTCGAGAATAATCTAATGCAAACCACAAGTCAACGACATATTATTTATTAATTTATACAACGACAATTTTTCAAAAATAATGTTCAAAAACTTGGTATCGAGAAATCTGCAACAGCAGAGAAAAAATATAATACAAAAAAAAAACTATTCCTGGGCAAAGCCGCGTAACCCAGGCAAATTTCTTCGTAATACGATACCAATGTGAGAATAGTCCTCTACCCCGACTAATACAAAAAAATACCATTTCAGATATAAGAAAATGATTTGCTTAAAACACTCGGTGCACTTTATAATGATATCCCTCAAATGAGCAAAAGATGACACCTAACGTCGAAAATAAGAAAATAAACATACACACCGACAAAAGCATTTTTCAATCGTAATGGTTCAGCAAATCACGCTCATTTCTATTTACTTCTAACGAACTAATAGCACTGTGAACTTGAAATTAACATATATTATTCGGCAGCAAAAAACATTACTATGTATAACACTTGAAGGGCTGTCAATGTCAAACAAAAAATCCACTTCTTTTCTCTTTCAAGATCTTTGAACAGAGGATATTACAGAAGCCAGCACCATTTAGTCTGTCACAGACCCACCCGTTACATCAGCTTAGGAATCAATTTCTTGCCATGAAACTTCATTGCAATAGTTAATAAAAGTAACAAACTCCTATAAAATCTAATTTCAAAAATTTCAGTGCAAGGCAGTTCGCGAAAGAGAACAATTACTTAACCAAATGAAATATGCATAGTAGTCTATTAGCGACATCGAAATCCCATTACACAACCTAAAAAACCTCAGTCAGCTGGCATCAAAATAGAACTAGAGAAAGATCAAATTATATCAGTTTTTTCAGTACTGTTAAAAGCAGAAATCAGATGAAGAGTAGAGACTGCACTCAGAAACTGAGGGCTTTAAAATAATTTTCGTAAAACTTGAGCATCTTACTGTCAATTAAAAATGAAACAATAATGCTATAATGCCAGGTTCTGTAGGAAGCCTCAACAAATACCTGTAATATATACCTAGGTTACCAGAAATGAAATCGGTGAAAGACACTTATAATCAAAGCCTTACTTAATCAATATCATTTAAAAACTTGAATTTTAAAATAAGTCAACTTTAGAAACACTAAAAATTTTTCCCCTACCACATAATACTTCAGAATGAGATAATTTTCCAGCTTCCTACGGCCGTTACTCTGACAGAAAGCACGAAATTTGGTTTGGATCTGTTAGAAAGAGCAAAAACCAAATTGTCTGTGACTCGCAGTCTCGCTGCATAACTAATGACAAACATTCTCTAAGCTTTTAAGATTTTCAGGCACTTCTCTCAAAAGGTTAAAGCTTTTTACTAAACTCGGTAAAATAGCATTGCTGCTGGGCCACTTTCGTCAAGCTTTAAACGCCACTGACCCATCATTATGTTATGCCCGGTGGCGAACTGCAAATGACAACCGAAACTCCTCTGGTTAAATAATTTCTTCGATCCCTCCCACTTTCTCCTAAGCTCCACTAACAAATTACCCGCTTTCTTGGCCTCCTCTACAGCAAAATACATAAATCTTTACAATTAACATATCAAAAATTTTACTGAACCTTATTCATTCTCTTGTTCTAAAGACTCCTTGTCTTTTTCCTCCCATCCAATAGCACTTTCGTCAACTTTGTCCGCCTCAACACCAAACTTACCACCGTAACCTAATGCTGCATCTGAAAACCCGATACCATGCACAAGTCTCCATTGAAAAAAGAAAAAAACGATCCAATAAATAACTATGAAAAAATCGATGGCAGTAATGTATGCCGTCGGTAATATACGCACAGAAATTAATTAATGACTGCTGTACCAGTTTATAAAAGATGATTTTTTACGATCTGTGACCAAACACTGCATATATAACAGTTCTATTACAGGCACCGCTACTACTAATCATATCCTTAATGCCACACTTATTATTCTTTTGTTAACCAAAAAACTGCCTATTTAACCTCAACAAAGTTCCATATAACATCGAACACTTGCAATAAAATGGAACAGCTCCCCTTCTTAGTCACCAACGAGAATGTAATTTGAGATAAAGTTGCATAGGACAATACCATTGCTATGTACTCCAAAACGCAGAGTACGGAAATAAGGTTTCTGAAGAAACGAGTGCTGCAACTAAAGAATACTAATAAGATGTAATTCAAAAAACCTTTTTGGCTTTCATGTTGCGCTAATTCAACTTTCTCATCCCATCCCAGTGCACTTTTATCTTTACGATCGGTCTGGACACCATATTTGCCCCCATAACCTTGAGCCATATCCATCTGTGATGCATGCTTTTCTGTTGTGCCTTCATATTCATAAGAAACAGCGCTCTAAAACTTCCAAGATGCCTCAGCTCAAAAGAAACAAAATTTAAACAGGAAAAACCCGTAAATAAATGAAAAAGCAACTGTATAATCCAAACATATCAAAAAAATTCAAAAAAAAAGAAAAAAATGAGAAAAACCTTATCCATCCGATCTTTCTGCACCCCATACTTGCCGCCATAACCTTCACTAGCCTTCGGTAATTCAGCCAACCGTTTCTCCTCAAAAATTATTTTATTAAATGTTTATCAGATTGAATTTCCCATGAGTAAGGGCCCCACAAACAACCTTACCCTCAGTTTTGTGTCCGATTCTAGAGTCTGCTGACGAAGTTCAGCTAATTTTACTGCATCTTGATGTCCTGAGCCTTCCACAGTTTTTGAACCCCATCGGCTTTCCTTCTCTGTTATATCATTCTGAAAATAGAAAAGTATAGAAAGTGATGGAAAGTAAACAATCAATAAACATAAATAACATTTCTAACGAATTCGTTGCACACAGTTACTGCAAAATCGTCCACATATGATATCTGACTTATCATTATCTAAGTAACAATATAATGCGACCTAAACACCAACAAAATTTATCAAAAATACTTACAATAAAATCTGGATCAGTCTCCCAATCGTCTCCCATAACTTGGAATGCTAAAAGGAGTAACATTTTAGCTTGCAAAAAAAAGCATTGTAAAATAACCTTCGCATAGAGATCGTGCCAAAAAAAAAAAAAAGTATTGGCTAAGATTTGTTGAAATATATACATTATTTTACTGCTGTAGCCCAAAAATTGGGATCAAACTGGTGAAATGAGCACTGCACTTCCGCAAATTGACGTTGCAATGTTTAAAGTTCCAAAAAAAAAGAAAAAGAAAGAAAAGATGAGGTTAAGTACAGCCGTTGAAATATGCAATAAACATCATAATCAGATAGAAAATTTAAACGAGAAAGCACAAAAAAGCTGAGCAGATGGTAGAAGCAGGGCAAAAAAAGAGTGGAAGAATATTCTTGTAGACTATCAAGTTTAACAATAAATCTTCAGGTACATGTAAAAAAGACTATAATTTTAAAAAAATTAGCAAACTGATATACCTGCAAATCAGTTGTACGAAACTAGCATAAAAATCACCCAATAAATACTGCTTCAATTGAACACATCAAACCTATTAATCCAATAATGACTTTAGCAAATAAAGAGTTATACAGCGAACATAATATATGCTTGAAGATTATGTGTTATTACATCTACAAGTAACTCAAATAAACAGTACCTTGCGATAAATGGCATAACTGCACAAAGAGAAAAAAAAACTGAACTTACCGGAACAAGTGTTAAATCCAACCTAGATGTACGCTGTTAGCAATTATCATGATGCGAAAGTTGAGTAATAACAATTTTTCCTAGCTTGTTCTATAGAACCATCAACAAAACTGTCGCTGAGAAATAATTCATTCGTTGATAAGCTGTTAAAGCTAACATTTATCATTACAAATGTTAAACTATGAATTAGACGCAATAATTCAACGAATTTCCATCATATATTACTGGTCAATTCTGTCAATTCTGTACTTCAAAGTGATTAATATAGCAAAAAAAAAAAAGAACTGTTAGTTCACCAAATCTACGAAAAAAAAAAAGCGCTGTTCTTTTACATTTGAGTACCATAAAAATCAAAAAACTTTCAAAAATAGTTCTTTTTTTTTTTGGTCCACGTCTGCTTCTTAAGGAAATTACAAAGATCAGGAATGTATCAATTTTTTGGGGCTACAAAATGTAACATTTAGTGAGTGGGCAAGAAAAAAAAAA